TCCAGGGGCGGGCTGGGCAGCCGGGACAGTCGCGGGGGCGGCAGGGGCAGCAGCTGTGGCTGCCTGGCTGGGGCTCCCAGATCTTCCCCTGCAAAGAGGTGGGTGGAGGGCAGTCAGCCGGTGGCAGGCCACTTGCGCTCGGCCACTAGAGGCCAGCACTGGACGGCCCCAACCCACACCCCACGTGCCTTCCCCCCTAACCCCTCGCGAGAGAGGCCCTGCGACTGTGCAGAGGAGGAGGACACCAGGGGCCCCCCACCCACCAGGGCTGCCCCGCACCTGGCATGGGCTCTGGCGAGGGCGCAGGCCCGGGCTCCCCGGCCCTGGCAGGAGCCCCTGGCGACACCGGACGCGGGGTGTCCTGGTGTGGGCCCAGCTCCTGGGGGGGCCCCCTGCGGCCCTCCGCGGCGGGCAGCAGGAGCGGCTCTGCCGGCACGGGGGTCTGCTCCCCCGGGGCCTCGTCCTCGACCTGCGCCTCCTCCTCCATGCCCACGGACTCTGTCTCCTGCGCATCGTCTGTGGCCACGGTGGCCGCAACCTCCTCGAAGTGGTCGTCCTCGGGGGCAGTGGGGGCCAGGCTTTCCGCCGCCGCCGCCTCTTCCGCGGCTGCCGCCGCCCTGGCCTCCTCTTCATCCTCTTCGTCCTCTGAGGACGACGAGGACTCGGAGCTGGACTCGAACCCGGAAGACTCGGAGCTCGGGCTGGAGGACCCCGGCCGGGCCCTGGAGGTGGCGACGCTCACCGTGTCCTCTGCGCGGGCAGGCGCGGGGCGGGCGTCAGGGGGTGCGGCGGACCCGCAGGGCAAACCAGTCCCAGCGCCCCTCCCACCCCAGGCCGGCCCGCGCCGCGTACCTGCGTCAGAGTCCCCGGCCTCCTCCTCACTCGCTTCCGACAGGGCCACATCCTCGTCTTCGGACTCATCCTGGTCGTCGCTGTCTTCGTCTTCGTCCTCGTCGTCCTCGTCATCGTCGTCGTCGTCATCATCGTCCTGAGCAAGGGAAGGGCCGGAGGTGAGCGTGGCCCCGCCCCCGCGGCATAGGCCCCGCCCCTCCCGCCTAGGCCCACCCCAGCCCCGCCCCTCCCACGCAGGCCCGGCCCCGCACCTTGTCCGAGGTGGCCGAGGTCGACGAAGAGGCCTGGCTCTGGGGGCGCCCCTCTGCCTGCGCCCCGGCCTCCGCCTCATCCTCTGTGCTCTCCCGCTCCTCCTTGTCAGAGGCAGAGGAGGAGGGCGAGGTCGTTGCGGAGCCCGAGGACGAGGATGCCGACGAGGACGAGGACACCGACAGCGACTCCTTCTCGTCCTCCTCCCCGCCGCTGTCCAGCTCCAGGGGCCGCCCTGGCCGCCGCCGCACGCCCGCGCCCTTGGCGTCG